AGGGTCTCACTACATTGCCCAGACCGGCTTCAAACTCATGATTCTCGTGCCTCCTCAGCCTCCCGAGTAGCTGGGATTACAGGTGTGCACCATCCGGGTTTTTTTTTTTTTTAAATTATCATTTATTTATTTGAGATAGTTTTGTCCTTATTTCTCCAAAATGTCAGACTTGCTCCCACCTCTTAATTCCCAGTGTTTTATCTCTAGTTCTTTTTCCCAAGTATTGCTGGGTGATTCACCCAATCCTACTTTTTCCTTAAACCTCTCTTCTGAATAAAGCCTGTCTGGTTATCTTATTAAAGAGAAGTTTGCAAACACATCCTGTATTCTATGCTTCCTTTTTACATGTTCTACTTTTAAAGACTTTGTATAATTTGTTTATAATACTTAAGTGGAATTCTGTATTATGTCTAATGAGTAAAGAGCTTATAAATTTTGAGAATAAAGCGTTCTTTGCTGTTTTACTTTTATTGTCTAGCCATTTTTCCCTACCAATACACAGCCTCTTTGTAATGAATTACATCCTTACTCTAAAAAGTAGAGTGTTTGTAATGAATTACATCCCTACTCTAAAAAAGTTATTTTAAGATAAAGTCTCATTAGATGGCTAAGTTGCCCAGATTGAGCTTGTAATCTTCCTGCCTCAGCCTCCCAAGGTACTAGAATCGCAAATGTGTGAAAGCGCATCCTATCTCTTTTATCATTCTTTTCTTTTCCTTTTTTTCTTTTTTTTTTTTTTTTTTTTTTTTTTCGGAACCAGGGATTGAACTCAGGCCCTTGCACTTGCCACGGAAGCGCTTATTCCACTGAGCCATCTCTCCCGCCCTGTGCTAGACTTTTTTTTTTTTTTTTTTGGTGGAACCGGGGATTGAACTCAGGCTCTTGCGCTTGTCAAACAAGTGCTTATTCTACTGAGCCATCTCCCCAGACCTATAATTCTTAATCATTTATAGTTCCTCTCCTTCATAGATTGGTGTGTAGCAAGAATTAATTCATAGGAAGTATAAACATTACTTTTTTCAATGTTTAAATCTATCACAAAATATGTTATCTTTTTCTTTATATCTAACTGAGAGTAATATTTATTGCTTTAAAATATTTATACTTTGGAAGTGTCAATTTTGCTGGACATGGTGTTTCCGACCTAATCTGAGCACTTGGAGGCTGAGGCAGGAGGATTTCCATGAGTTTGAGGCTAGCTTGAGCTATATGCTGAGTTCAAGGATAGCCTGAACTTGTTTCAGACAAAAAAAAAGTCCTTAATTTTAAAAAGTGACTCAGTATGTCCTGGTTTGGGGAGGTAAATCTGGGCTAGAAGAAAAGCATTTAGAGATCAGAACCTAATGACAGTGCTGGTATTACTTAATCCACAGAGTTTTGTGCCTAAGTTCTTAACATGGCAGTTTCTAGAAACACTTTTAAAATGCTGTAAATAGCTGGACATGGTGGTACATGCTTCTGATCCCAGCACTGAGGCATAAGGATCATGAATTCAGACCTAGCCTGGGCAGTTCAGCAACTCAGCAAGAACTTATGTCTAAATGCATAATATTAAAAACGATTGAGGATATAGCTCCCAGTACAAAGGCCCAGAGTTCCATCCCAGTACCCACCCCCAGTGTATATATAGTATTATCCTTTAATTGCTATATATGATATAATTTAATTTTGACTCTGTAGAATTAGAATTACTAGTATTTTGCTTTACACTTGAGCTACATGCAAAATTTTATTTTTTACTTTTTTCAGACAGGATCTTGCTAGGTCACTAAATTCCCTGGACAGGGCTTGAACATGCAGTCCTCCTGACTCAGCCTCCTAGGGTGCTGGGATTACAGGAATGCCCAATCAGGCCCGGCTTTAAAAGAAAAAAAATCACTTGTTTCGAGTTTAAAATTTTTTGTAAGAATCTTCTGGTTATTTCTTATTTCTGGTATATACTGAGTAAATACTTTGAAGAAGACAATACAAAATGTAATTCCTATGGTTATGCTCTTATTTGGTTACGAAAGTTTATTTTTTCATGAAATAAAATTTTTTGAATTTAAAATACAGCAAGTATTTTAAAAGTCCTTCAAACCAATATTTAAAAAACATTTTTCTGAGGAGCAAAACATTGATAATTTTATTTTAAATATATAAAACCTATTGTACGCAATCTATAAGTCAAGATATAAAACTTTTTAAATACTTCTTTTGAAATGTCACTACTCTGTTATAGTAAAATAGCTCTGTATTACTGCTTTTATTTAATCCTGGATAGTCATCATTTTCATAAAGATTCAATTAAACTAAATTCTAAATAGCCAAAATTTAAATGATCTTTTTAATTAAAAAATCAGAGTGTTTTGAATATGGAGAATTATCCTTAAACACTAGAAAAATCTGTGCCATAGCTGAATTTGTCACACAAACTACTTTAAGATTTCTATTCTCCCCTCGTAGGAAGATACATTTCAGCAGTATGTGAGACCAGAGATTAACACACAACTTTCTGATTTCTGCATCAGTCTTACTGGAATTACTCAGGTAATGAGTCTGTTCTCTTTTTGCTAGAGTTTGAAAATAGAATTTAAATTAAGAATTTATAGATAGTTCAAAACACAATCATTATAATCAATTTTATGGTATTTTTGTTGTTTGGTAAAGATCTTTCATAGTGTAGTAATTTAGAAAAAATACTTACAACCTATTGCAGTGGTATGTACCTATAATCCCAGCTACACAGGAGCCTGAGGTGGCAGGATTGCTAGAGTCCAGGACTGTGAATCTTCTCTAAAAGAAAAAAAGCCCATTTTACATCTGGTAACATTATACTCAGCCTTTCCCTTTAAGGAGTTGTAATGGTGCATTTAAAGATTTTATTTGTTAAATGAAATGTTAACCTGCAGTACTTAGTATCTCTACATTTCTTCGCCTCTCTTCTTCCTCTCTTCTCCCTCTCTTTCTCTTTCCTTCCCTCTATCCCTTCCCGCTTTTCTCCTTAGTCTAGGTTATCCTGACACTTAATCTTCCTCCTGCCTTAGCTTCCTGAATGCTAGGCTTACAAGCATGTGTTACTATGTCAGGCTACATCCTGACTTACAAATTTTATTATTTTTAGGCTTTTTTTTGTTCTATTCTAATATGTAGGTCTTTTGTTCATTTATTTCCTCTATTCATTTGCTCTGAGTGACTACCTATAATATACTGTGGAGCTAGGGATTCAGAGACAGTCAAGTCAGCCCTTATCCTCAGTTTCCTTACAGTCTGTAAGCCAGAGGGGCAGACAAAGTAAGTCAGTGGTCACAGTGTGTTTGAGTGAGAAGTAGGGAAAGATATATTTGTTCCCAGAGTATTCTGGAGTTCTATGAAAAGGGTTCTCTAATCATTGCTGGGCCAAAATATTCTCAACCCCCAATGAAAAGAAAGAGAGATTTATTTTGACTTACTGTTTGTAGAATTTTCAGTCCGTCACAAATTGGCTCTAGGAAAAATGGCGAATCGGGAGGACCTGAGTGGAGGAAAGCTGTTTACCGTAGAGCATCCAGGAAGCAGAGTGCGGGCAGGAGCTGAAAAGGAACATATATACCCTTCCAGGCCACACCTAATGACCCTCCTCTTCTGACCAGACCCTACCTTCTAATGGCAAGTCAGCTGTATGCCCCATAATCCAATCACCTTTGAAAAGACGCCCATGAGCGCATGTGGGGGAAGCATTTAGATATATTTTAGGAAAACTGATGGGCACCTATTTATGCAAAATGTGTTTAGTCTGTGTCTAAGAATTGCCAAAGTCCTAATAGTCCCTGCATTGCTGAGAAGTCCAAGTTCAAAGTCTCCTCTGAGACTTAAGGCAAACTCTTATCTGTGAGCCTTTGTTACAAAAAAGTTAAAACACCATCTGTATATGATGGCATAGAGCAAATATTCCAACTTTAAAAAGGAGGAAAAGGGAGATAAAAAGGAATGGGACCAAAGCAGAACTGAAACCCAGGAGGGTAAACATTAAATCTTGTAGCTCTGTCCAACACCTGGGGCTAGATGTAAGATGTGAACTCCAGAGGGCTTGGGTGGCCTACCCCTACAGCATTGCCGGTGGTTGTAGCCCTCATGACTACTCTCTTGGGCTGGCTTTACTCACTCCTTGAGGCTTTCCTCAGATGTTTTTTTGTTTCTTGCTTCTCCAGATTTCTGGGGTCTCTGCTGCTTTTTTGACCTCACTTTTGCAGCTTCAGGCACTGCCTTCTGTGGGATATAGGCTTCCTAGGCTTTCTATTGTTTTAATTTTGTTTCTTTTTTTTAGATAGGGTCTCACTGTGTAGTTCAGACTGGGCTTGAACTCTGTAGCCTAGGCTGGCCTCGAACTCACAAGGATCTTCTTCCTTAACCTCGTGAGTGTTGGTATTATAGACATGTGTCACTACACCCAGCTTTAGGCTTCCTTTTAAGGTCTGGCTAAAGACCTCCTTACCATTACAACTGTTACATTGTGCATGTCTGTAAAATTGTGTACTGTGGATGATACCAAGTTCTGCCAGCTTTAGCAGCAGTAAGGCTTCCTTGTATCGTGTCTTCAGAGGCCTCTAAGTGCCTGGATGGTTGAATACTCTGAAATGAATGCTGGGGACAAAGTCCCTGGTTAGTAGCACCGTGGTGGCATGATGCTGTGGTGCTTTCTTCTTGAAACAAAGTTTTTTATTTTTGTAATTTTGAGCCTGTGAACAGTGGGGCTTTGTTGGTTCCTCATATACTTTCAAAGCATTTTTCTGTTATCTTGATCCAAAGTACTGCGCTTCATTTTAAAGTTAATCCTTTCAGCTACCAAGTTGTTCTCTGCTCCATCTTTGCAGGCACTTTCTGGCAAGACTGAAAATTTTTATTCTTTTTTATTTTTTATTTTTTTATTTAGTACAAGATGTACAGGGTCTTACTACGCAGATGGGACTCGAAGTGATCCTTCTATTTTTAGCCTCCCAAGCATAGGGATTACAGGTGTGCGCCATCACGCCCAGTCAAGACTGAAAATTTTTTAAATGGGTTTTTTAACTCTGATTTTCAGGATAGACCTCACCAAGCCCCTCCCCCAATATCTATGCCACACTCCCCAACATTGGGTTACTTTAGAATTTCCTGATCTAGACAGGTCTGCTGTCCTTAATCTTAGACTCCTACATGATAAAATGTAGACAAATTTTCTGTCAGAGCATAATATACACAGTCTGGAATCCTTTGGCCAGTGAAGTTCTCCTGAACCTGGTCGTTACCATCTGCATTTTTTTCAGAAGTACTCTGATCTTCTGAGCTCTTAGTAGTTTCACACGTCAAGCTCAGCTTATAGCATTCTAGGACTTCTTTTCTAGCCATAGTCTCTAAACCTTTTCAGACTCTTCCCATGAACCAGCTCCAGAGGTTTCTCAGCCATGTGGTAAGCTGCAGTCAGCAATCTTTTTTTTTTTTTTTTTCCCTGAAGACAAAATTTCTGACATCTACAACTGAAAGGAGGAAGGGTTTGTAATTTGTAGCAAGTAGTCCCTGCTTGCTAGCTCCAAGACAGAGAAGGGTATGGTGGAATGGGCCTGGGCTTTAGCTCATGGCATCCAGGAGGGAGAGAGATGAGCTGAGAAAGAAATGCCCTTCCAGACCACATCCTTAGTGATGCATCTCTCTTGACTAGACCTTACCTCCTAACAGTAAATCAGTTATAACCCCCTGTAATCCAGTTTCCTTCCAGAAGCCCTGCCTATGAGTCATGAGGCTCTTAGGATATCTAGATATAAACCAGAACAGCTCCACTATATGACAGAGTTGTTCTGGGACAGGCTTCATCGTATTAGTTAATTTGACCTCAGTTATGGTAGGTAAATAGGAAAGAAGTGATGGGCATTTCAGGTGCATAATGGCAAAACTACACAGAGCTCAGGAGGGCCCAAAGGTGTGTGCCTTAGTGAGAAAATGGTTGAGATAGGCAGAAACAAGGCAGAGCCTATCTTTTTATTGTGAAAGCCTTGAAACTTGGAAGACATTTAGAGCATGGCTGATTGATAGATAGGTCAGATTTACCTTTTAGGAAACCTAGACTGGCAGTATTGTGTAGTATGGTGTGGGAAGGCATAAAAGTTGAGGTGGGGAGACTATGAGCAGTTATGGTTTTCAGTTAATAAAAGATTTTTCTTCTGTGTTTTGAATAGTCATTAAACCATTAGGTTGAGGCCTTCAGAAAAATGAGCCACTGAGGGCTAGTGGCCCAATTGCCCAAGTTGTTCTCAAATTTTGGATCCTGCTGCCTCAGCCTCCCAGACTGCTAGGATTACAGGCATGTACTATCACTCTTGACAATAAAAATTTGTAAGGGTCTTAAATGAAATTTTAGGTGGTAGATGGATTGAGGCCTGGCAGATTATGAAGAGTTTTCATGTTGGCCATTTCCCTCCCTCCAGTTTATGTCTGGGTATACTGCAGGACTACAGGTAGTTACCCTGGTTTTCATATCTTTTATTTTTTTACCCTCAGGATCAGGTAGATGGAGCTGATACTTTCCCTGAGGTACTGAAAAAAGTAATTGACTGGATGAAATTGAAGGAGTTAGGGACAAAATATAAATACTGCATACTAACAGATGGGTAAGTATTTAAGAAAATTAATCTGTTTAATATCTACTTTTTCAAGATTCCCTAGTTCATTTGACTTAAAATAATCACAGCAGTATTATTTATTAAAGATTTTTTAATTACCCACTGGAGATGATGTTTTTCCTTTTATATTCCTTTTTCTACTTACCTTTTGAATCTGAGGGATGAGTGAGAATAGTAACAGTGTAGTACAAGACATGAGGACTGGAAAGATAAACATTAACATGTGAAAATAAAATGATTTTCCCAAAAGCCCATTTCTATCATGAAATTTGCTTGCTCACAGAAGGCTTCAGCTTAGCATTCAAGAGTCTCTCATCACCTGGCCCAGTTAGCCTAATCCACCTGATACTATTTCTATTATAGTCAGGTTGCCCATGAATACACATGACTTATTTTCCTGTGTGTTTATCAAGCTTTCCTTTCCACTAAGAAACTTTTCTTCTTGCTGCTTATCGTCAAAGCCATTCTAGATTTTACCCTGATACTACAACTTCATTGATTTTTTTGTTATTTCTTTTAAAGTCTTATATATAAAATCTTAAAGCCTTTGTTATGTACAGTTCTAACTATTCTGATACCTTTGTGTGTGTAAGCTTAATCTCTTGCAGAGAAATTAAATACCCTCTCAGACTAAAGGACTTACACTATCTGATAGCCTTCCATAAATGAAAAGTTTAATAATGAGTATATCAGAAAGATAAAAGCAAGGACTACAGGCCTTGTACTAGGATATGTCCTGTATCATACACCATCAGTGTTGAAAAAGAAAGTCCTAAACAGCTTCTATTTTGAACTGTGGACAGTTTGTACTCTTAAAGATATTTGAGATACTGCCAACAAGAGGATTTTTTATCCACATACAAGAGGAGGGAACATTGAGTTTAATCATACCATAATTTGGAAACTTTTTTAATGGACCTTTTTAGAAGCCTAGTGCTGATTTTCAATATGTGTAGATAGTTTTTCTGTTAACATTGACAATGGTATTTTTATCATAACTATATAGGTATGAAATTCTCACATTCTAAGACAGATTGTTCAAAATCTGTGTTTTTTTTTTTTTAATCAGAGCACTAAAAAGTAATAAGTGATCCTTCCAGAAATAATTTGGAAACCCAGGCAAGCAGTTTATGGTAGGTAGTTTGCTTTAGGATATTAAAAATACACAAACAATAAGATCGTAGGAGTGGATGTCATTTATTGTTCATTTATTTATTGTGGTACTGCAGATTCAATCCAAGTGTTTTCTACTAAGTTATATTCCTAGTCCTTTTATTTTTTCTATTGAGATAGAGCCTTGCAAAGTGGCTAACTTGCCCAGGTAGGACTTGAATTTGCTTTCCTGTCTTATCCTACCAGAGTGCTGGTATTATAGGTGTGCACCACTGCTGAGTTTTTTCTAAAAGTGCAGTTCAAAGTGTTCCTGTTGTCAAAATAAGCAGCAGAGTTGAGGACTTCATTTTTTGCTGAAGATTATAGTCGCTGCTGCCATTCTGACCTTTTGCTGTAAAAAAACCATCCGTGAACCAGCACAATTTCCACATTGCACATTGTAGGTCTCTTTGACTGTAAAAGTTGATTTGTATTATAGAAATACATGCTGTAGCAGGATAGGTTATATTTTAACTTTTTTATTTGTATTTTATTTTTATTCTTTTGATACAGGGTCTCACTACACAGTTTGGACTCATAGAAATCCTCCTGTTTCAATCTCCCCAATACTGGGATTACAGGTGTGTGCCATCACACCCTGTTCCTGGGCCAGCACGGAATATGGTACCGGGGATCCATCTCGGGACCTTGCTCTTGCCAGGCAGGCGCTTATGCCTCCAAGCTATTCACCCAGCCCTATTTTAACTTTACTTTTTTTCTTCTTTACTTAAAAAATATTTTTTTGTGGCATTTATTTCTGTTTAGAGTGTATCCTTAAAAACCTTACTGATACAATAATACTGCCATTACTCATTAGCCTAACAGTTACTTTTGAGAATTATGAAGAACATTCTCAGCAGGATAGACCTCTGCCCATGTATCAGAACTATAAAAACATTAAGGATTAATATGTCAAATTTCCTTTTCTTTCTTCCTTTTTTTTTTTTTTTTCTGTGTTTAGTACAGGGCCTACAGGGTGTCACTACACAGATTGGACTCATAGTGATCTTCCTGTTTTCATCCTCCCAAACATTATAATTACAGGTGCGCGCCACCACACCCAGTCTTAATCATCTAATTGCTATCTCAGCACCCCCTAGGGGCAAGCCAGGGATTGAATCCTGGTCTTTAGTCTGCTGAGCTGTCTGTCCAGCCCCTTTCTTTTTATTTTATAAAGTTTATTTTTGATGTGGCATTTTATAGGAAGTAAGATTATGTTTCTAAGTTTATTGTTTGTATATGAGAATGTTGACATTGAAATAAAAACACTGACTTAAAAGAATTATTCAAAAGAATAATGCAGCATTTATTTTGTCTATCTCTTTTCTGTTTTTCATTTATAAGTTCATGGGATATGAGTAAGTTCTTGAACATTCAGTGCCAACTCAGCAGACTCAAATACCCTTCGTTTGCTAAAAAGTGGATCAATATTCGAAAGTCGTATGGAAACTTTTATAAGGTAAAATTGCTGTATTTAATGATTATGCTCTTGATAAGTTTGCTATATTTTGCATGTAAATTAAATTGTTATTTTCTGGTATTTTTCACAGGAAAAGGCCATCTAATTGTTACTCTTAATCGGTCTGACTTCTTTTCAAATTACTAGGATAAGCCTTTTTTCCTCTCAACCTATGAACTTTAAATATAGACCATACACACAGATACATACATGTATTTAAGTATAGATACATATATAACAAGTTTGGAATTGTAAAGTACATGTCTTTACATGTCTTGCTTGTGGAACTAATGCTGAATTTTAATTTTATTTTCATTGAAGTTAATACCTTTTTTTGTTTGTTTGTTTTTTGAGAGAAGGTGTCACTCTGTAGTTCAGTCTGGCCTCAAACGCACTATGTAGCACAGGCTAGCCTCAAATTTATGGTGATCCTCCTGCCTTAGTCTCCCGTATGCTGGGATTACAAGTGTGCACCACCATGCCCAAACCACTACGTATGTGAGATGCAGAGAGAGAGAGAGAGAGAGATTTTTTTTTCCTGTATTTTAGGGAAGGGTCTAACAGGGTGTTCAGGGTCTCACTACTAGATCGGACTCATATTGATTCTCCTGTTTACAGTCTCCCCCCAAGTGCTGAGATTATAGGTGCACACTACCATGCCCAATCTCAATTGCTGTCTCAGTGCGCCCTGGGGGCGGGACCAGCATGGCAGGCCCCTGACCCCTATGCCTGCTTGTAGGCACTTTAATCTGATGAGCTATTGGCCGGCCCTTGTGTAATGTATATTTAAAAAATAATGCTACAAGGCTTAAAAACAAATGGGGGGTCCGGGGACATGGCTCAGTGGAATAAGCGCTTGCCTGGCAAACACAAGGGCCTGAGTTCAATCCCTGGTACTGCCAAAAAAAAGCAAAACAAAACAAATGGGAAGACTGCCACAGTCTTCACCAGAACCAGTCCCTGCTCTTGAGGCAGATAACTTTTCAACTTTTTCAAAAGCTTTTTCTTTATGTATTGACCTTTATATTTATAATTTGCATATTTGTGCTGTTCTTGAATTTTTAGTTTAAAATGTCTGTTGAATTTCTACAGTGAAAAGTAAAGGTTTAGTTCTCAACTCCCAGCTTCCGAAGGTTATTCCCCAGCCTGAATCTTGCTAATGTATTCGTACTACCTTTACAGTCAAACTGAATCATTCATTGGTCAGTGCCCAAAATATAGTCTGTAGGTGTTTCCTTTAATCCTGTTCTCATCTGAACCAAAATTGTTCTTCAGCCTTTTTCTACTATCATCCTAGGACACATTTCCTTTGCCTTTCTATCAAAGGAAAGGTACTTTGCTGCATTTTGTGTCATCGTCCTTCTCCCTTTGCAACTTCATTTTGGTGAAGTATATCATTAAAATCTACTTTCATGAGAAAAAGGGCTTTTCCTAAAAAAACTTTTTCTTTTAACACTTTCTCAAAACTGAAAAATAAACATGTACAAGAGTTTCACAAATTTTTAAAAAGTGAATAATACCCTTGTAACTTTTACCACTTAGCCTCTTTTCTTTCTTTTGAAGAGTCATACTTTTATGGTAATCATTTTCTTGCTTTTCCTTATAGTTAATATGTTTAGTTTAAAATGTCATTAGACAGTATTGTTGGATTAGAATGCATTACTGTATTACTAATTTTGCTCTTTTCCTGTTATTATTTTGCTCCTTTATTATTTATTTTGCTCTTTTCCTTATTCTACTTAAGAGCTGTCCAAATTGTGTGTACAGCTGCAGTTCACTCACTTTATTGCTCTGCAGAATTCCATTGTGTGAATAGATGGCATTTGTTGATCTGCTCTACTTTGGCCATTTGGGTTATTTTTAGCTTTGGGCTTTTTTGAATGATGGTGCTGTAAACTTTCTTGTGATTCCTGCTGCCTTTGTGTACTCCACGGCACTTTCTTTAGGGTATAAACCTAGGAATGCAACTGCTGGGTCATAGGTTGTATGCATTGTTCACCTTATTAAATAATGGAAAAATTGTTTATCAAAGAAGTTGTATCTTTTTGTACACTGAGTAGTGCATGAGTTTACAGTTGGTTTATGTCATTGCCAAAACCTAGTATTATATTGGTAGGCGTTTGATTTTATTTTGAGATTAGGAAAGTTTATTTAGAAATAGGAGAAAGAGAAAAAGAGAGGGGGCTGGATTTCTAGGAGGGTACTGAATGATGTGGCCCATTGGTAGACATTTTTAGTGTAAATCTGGTGGATATAGGATGCTTTCTCACTGAAATTCTAACCTGCATTTGTTGGTCACTCATGAGGTTGAACTTACTCCATGCTTGCTTGCCATTTTGACTGATCTCTCCCTTTCTTTCCTTTTGTTTCTGTTTAAGTTTGCGCCTATTTTAAAACATTTGTAGTTGTTCTTTTGTTACGGGTTTATGGATCTTTATTTTAGATGCTAGTTCTCTGATCATCCTTCATTTTTTTCTTTTTACTCATTTAGTGTTTTGTTTTGTTTTGTTTTGTTTTGTTTTTTTAACATGGTCCCACTATGTAATCCAAGTTGGCCTTGAATTCAGTATTTAGCCTGGGCTGTGCCATTCTCATGCCTCGGTTTTGGGTGGTAATTGTACCTCACCACCCAGCTCACTTTATAGTTTTTTTCTTTTTTTTAAGCCTTCGTTATGGAAACTTGCAGACATATATAGAAATAAAAAGGCTAATGAAAGCTCGTGACCCAGTTTCGACTGTTACAAATCCATAGATTAGTTTACCTATGTACCTCTTTTATTATTTTGAGTCAGAAAACAGACTGTAAATATTTAATTATCTTCAAAATGTAAGGGCTTTTTTTTAAAATCATACCGTATCACATCTAAAAAATTAGCAATAATTCCTTATTGTCACCTCACCATAAATATATTTTATTTTCCTTTTTATGTGTTAAAATCAGAATAAGGTTCACACGTGTGCAGTGTTGGTTATGTCTGTTCTCTTATGTCTAGCTTTTTTAATCGACAAATTCTATCTTTACTTTTTTTCCCTTGTAGCAGTGGGCTTACTTTTTTTTTTTTTTTTCTTTTTAAAGAAAGAATTACATGTTCTGTAGTGTTTCCACTTATCTGGACTTTGCTAATTGTATACTGCATTGTAGTTTCAAACTATCTAAAGTTCTACTAAAATTTCTGGTTTGTCATCTTTAGATTCTGTTTTTGCTACAAGTCCCAGATGGTAGTGCATTATCGATTATCATATTAGGACATTTTTTCTCAAACCTTTAATTTAGAAGATAATTTATTTATTCTAAGGTTTCCTCATTATATCTTAAAATAACTTTCAGATCTGCATAAAAATATTTACAGTGGAGACCCAAACAAGTTGGTACATATCTTTAATCACAGAACTCTGAGAGACTGAGGTAGGAAGATGTCAGTTTGAGCCTAGATTAGACAAGTTAGTGACTTAATGAGACCTTGTCTCAAAAAAAAAGGCTGAGGATTGTAGCTCAGTGTGAAGAACCTGGGTTTAGTCCTTGAGTACTAATAAAACAAACTACAGCTCACGGTACATGTATTTGATTATAAAGTTGTGTATGTAATGCAGTAAAATTTCCAGTACTCTATTAATTGAGGAAATTTTGACCAATATTAGCCTACTCTTGTGTGTGTGGCTTTCCACTGTGTATGCTAACCATAATGTCAGTTACTACTGTAAGTAGAAGGAACTTGCATTTATCTTTTTAAGAAATTTCCTTCTCTTGTTTTGTTTGCCTTATCTATGGAAACCTAAATGTTGTATCACAAATTTCTGCTATATATGATGCTAAAGATGGTCAGTGACATAATCTGCATAAATCTTTAGATGTTCTTGTTTTTTTAGATGAAAAATAAGTTTTCACCCAGCCTTTCTTGAGTAGTAGAGGGCAGAAATGGGTAGCTGAACCTGAGATTGATCTTTTTCCTTTCTATAAATTTAAAAGAACTTGTAAGACAAACAAAATATATTTTTGTGAAGTAAATGACTTAAAACAAGATTTTGTTTTTTTCTGAAAGTGGCTAAAGCAAAGTAAATAAAAATATATTCTAATGATTTAGTACAAGATTTTGGAAAAAGTTCCTTTTTTTTTTTTTTTTTTTTTTTTTTTGGTAGAGCATATGAAACACAAATGTGATTGGTAACATTTACAAAATTATACAAATGTGGGGTTGGGGAGATGGCTCAGTGGAATAAGTGCTTCCCTGGCAAGCGCAAGGGCCTGAGTTTAATCCCTGATTCCACAACAACAACAAAAAAATTATACAAATGTATTTATTTCTTTTATAGACTTAAAATTAAAATGCTAATTTTGAGGTAAAAGTGTAAGATGAAAAATACTACTTGTATTTCTTTTCTTTGATACAAATTACTCTGGATTGAATTTAAGGTAATCTAACATGAATTTCATTTTTCACAGAAATTAAATACGTCCTGCCCTTACTCTGTATATTTGCTAACAACAACAACACAAAAGATTTGCTTATATGTACAGACAGCTGCGAAATGCTGTGAAAAGTCTATTGCGTTCCTTAAGTGGCAGGATGCCCTTACAAAAATCCAGATTTCTGGAGGCATAGCACTAATTTTCATATCAGACCTCTTTTCTCAGGCAGATTTGTAGGCTGAGCAGAAGACTGAGGGAAAAGATCTCTCATTCTGCCATATTCTAGTTTTGAAAGTGAAGAAAACAGTTTTCTTTTATAGCTTTTTCAAAATGTTTTCAGTAAGATTTTTCCTATGAAACTGAAGCAAAATCACATGAGCATAAATAAAATCACATGAGCATAAATAAAAAAATCATATAAGCATAAATTATTTCTAGAGATTATTTTCTTTGAAATTTAAGAGTGTAATTGTATTCTTTAAAAAAAATTATTAGTATGTGTTTGCAGTATGTAATGATTACATCCACTGTAGGGGATTGATATATGTATATAACACATTTCAGCTTTGTTTTTCCCCTCTGAAATCAAAGAACCTTTTTTTAAAAAATGTATTTAGTACAGGGTCTACAGGGTCTTACTACATAGATTGGACTTGTAGTGATCCGTCCTGTTTTTTAGCCTCCCAAAGCACTAGGATGACAGGCGTGCTACCACGCCCAATCTCAATCGCAGTGCACCCTGGGAGGCGGAGTAGGCAGGGGATCTAACCCTTGGCCCCTGCTTCTGCCTAAGCAGTGGAACTTTATTCCACTGAGCTATCTGCCTGGCCAATCCAAGAATCTTTATCACTTGAAGTCAGACCTTTTTCTTGAGGGTCTTTGAGGGACTTGTTCATCTGGTTTGTGACAAAAATGTCTGCTAAGTAGGCCGGTCTTTCAGCTCTTCCTCATACCAAACTTTCCAAACTCTGTCTTCTTTTCCAGACATTCACTTTTCATCTCAGTCCCCTTGTTGCAAGCTATCAATACCTGATTTCTGGCCTCTGTTTTTCCACTTGAAATAATATTCTTAGATGCCTTTGATTCTATGGAAAAAATACTTTTAAAAAAAAAATCTTTTATTTATTTGGTACAAGGTCTTGCTAAGCAGCTTTGACTCGTAGTCATCTTCCTGTCTCAGCCTCCCCAGTGCTGGGATTATAGGCATGTGCCACCACTCTTGGTTTTAGTGGCTGACACGACAGCACAGCATTCGGTACTGGGGATGGAATCTGGGTCCTTGCGTTTTCCAGGCAGGTGCTTAGACCGTGGAGCTATCTCCCAACCCCAAAAAATACTTCTAGAACTACCAATGAAGAAAGTTTTTTTTGTGTGTGTGTGCATTGCTTTGTTCTTTTCTCTCTTTTTTTTTTCATTCATTTATTCATTTCTATGAGGATGAAATGTTTATCAAGTAGATTTATGAGCGTGTTCTCTGTATATGTGGTGTACTAGCTAGATATCTTCTGGCATCATTATTACATGTTTGGCCTAGATAGTACACAGGATGTGGTCTTGATAGTATAGACTTCAATCTTTACTATGTGTCACTAAGGTGTAATTATGCTCTGGATGTGTAGATCTTTTTGAAGATCTGAGTAATTTCTCATAACAGGTGCTGGAAAAGGAATGTGCAAATCAGAAGTTCAATGGGCTTCTGTTAATGTCTACTTTCACAGCATGCCACAGTATCAGGCCTATAATGATGAAGTTTCTTCATATCTCTGGTAGAGGGTGTATACTTTCGTAAATGTTTTTTGTAGTCCATCTCTTCCAGGGTATTTAACCACTTGTTGATTTGTGGGAATCACTTTGTATAAGCCATGGTGTAGACTGGCTTATTATCCCCTTTCTTCTTGGGTGTTGCTTAACCTGTTCAGAGTTTTCATCTAGGAGTTATATCCATATTAAATTTGTTACTTGTAAATATTTTCTTCCATAGGTTGCCAGTTTACCCTATTGATACTGTTTTTTATGCAAGTTTTATGAAACTTTTTAGTTTTGATGAAATTAGATACATTGTTTTCTGTGTTATAGCCATGAAATCGTCATTCCAGCTTTTCCCTGTTTTCTGCTAAGATTTTAGATCTTAAATTATTTGTTTATTCATTTATTTACTTTTGTATTTTTAGGGAACAGTCTACAGGGAGTTCAAGGTCTCATTTCTAGATCGGACACATCTAGATTCTCCTGATTACAGCCTCCAAAGAGCTGGGATTACAGATGCACACCACCACGCTCAGTCTCAATTGCTGTCTCAGTGCACCCTGGGGACAGGGCTGGCACGGCAGGCCCAGGGATGGAACCCCTGGCCCCCATGCCTGCTTGTAGGCGCTTTAATCTGCTGAGCTATTTGGCTGACCCTAGATCTTAAATTTAGCAATGATCCATTTTGAATTTTTTGTTTAGTATAGGGTAATGTTGAGTTCATTCTTTTTCATGCAGATACCTAGTTTTCCCAGCACTGTGCTGACAAGACTGTCTTGGCTTGTGGAATAGTCTTGGCATTCTTGCTGAAAACCACATTTATGAGGGTTTAATTTTGGATCCTCTTTCTGCTCCATTAGCTTGTATGTCTATCTTTATGCCAGTAGCATTTTAGTGACAGTAGTTGTGTAATGAGTTATGAAATTAGGATGTATGAGACCTCCAACTTCACATTTTTTTAAAAATTCTGTTTATTTATTTACTTGGTACAGGATCTTGCTCTGACTCCTAGTGATCCTGCTGTCTCAGCCTCCCCAGCACTGGGATTACACCACACCCAATTTTGGGGGCTAGCTTAGCTTGGCTTGGTGTGGGGCTGGTGCCTGGCATCAAACCTAGGTCCTTGTGCTTGCTGTGCAGATGCTTAGACCATCAAGCTCTCTCTCTAGACCCCCACCTTCATGTTTTATCAAAATCATTTTAGCTATTTGGGTCCCTTGTAATTGCAAATGAAGTCTTCAGATGGAATTTTCTGTTTCTGCAAAAAATGTTTGGGCTATCTGCAATAAATCTAAATCACTTTGGATGATACTAATATGTAACTCTTGAAATCCATGAGCATTTGGTGTTTTCTCATTGATTAGTAGCTTTTTAATTTTATTTAAGCCTCATTTCCTTGTTTTCTGTATACAAGTCTCTAGTTGTCTATTCCTAATTGCTTTCTTTTTGATGCTATCGGAAATGAAATTTTTAAAAAAATTTGCATTTTGGGTTATTCATTGTTAGTGTTTAGTAATACAATGATTTCTGTGTGTTGATTTTGTGATTTTGATTTTGTAACTGCTGTATTTATTATTATTAGTTCAAACATTTTTTGAAACTGAGGGTTGAAGCCAAGGCTTCTCACTGACCTCTATCCTGAGCCCTAAATTTTTAATTTTGAAACAAGGTCTTTTCTGAGTTGTCCATGTTGGGGTCCACTTGTGGTTCTCCTGCTTCAGCCTCCCAGATTACTAGTATTACAGGCATGAGCCACCATGCCTGGCTCTAACAGGACTTTACTATGTATTGTAGTTTAGAGCAGTGAAGAGTTATTTATTCTAAGATGTTTGTTTTTCAGGTTCCTAGAAGCCAGACCAAACTGACAATAATGCTTGAAAAATTAGGAATGGATTACGATGGGCGGCCTCACAGTGGCCTTGATGATTCTAAGAACATTGCCAGAATAGCAGTTCGAATGCTCCAGGATGGATGTGAACTCCGAATCAATGAGAAAATGTATTCTGGACAGCTGGCGAGTGTGTCGTCTTCCTTACCAGTAGAGGGCACTCCAGCTCCACAAATGCCACATTTTAGAAAGTAGTGGTTTTTTTTGTCTATGGATCATCTTAACTGGAGTTGCTACAAGGGGGTAGCCCATGAATACTGATCAAATTAGTCCCGCAGCGCAAACTTCAAGCACCTTAAACATTTAAAATCTCATTACAGTTGCGGATGGATATTATGTGTATGTGGACAGATTTTTGTCACCAGCACTTTTGATATGACAGGACATGTTACATAGTAACAGTTCTTGCTTAGAACTGAATTTTATATTTTAAGGTGTCCCTGATGAGCTCTTTTTAATTTTAAAATGCTTAATTTTATTGGTTGTTCCTTTAAATGTCATAGCTTTTTGATGTTGAAATATAGAGTGTATTTCTACATTATATTAAATCATTTCTTATTAAAATGCAGAAAGATTGAAAGGTAGGTCTTGTCAATGGGTTTTATGACCGTCGTAGTCTCTTTGAATCATGAAGTTTATATGTGTAGTTCAGCTGCAGACCTCCCTCCCTCAGGATTCTCGGGGCACTGATTCCAGGATCCTGTGTAGACACCAAAATCCCAGAGGCCCAAAGGTTTCACCTAAAGTAGGGTAGAATTGCATATACCCTGCACACGTCGTCCTGTAAAAATCATCTCTGGGTAGTTATAGTACCTTAGAAAATGTAAATACTATGTGAATAGTTTTATGCTGTTACTTAGGGAATAATGATAAGAAAAAGCGGTCTATGTGTAGTCTGTATAGACAGAAACATTGTGCGCCTAGCCATAAGCACACAAGCAGATGCAAGTGAGCACTCAGGGAAGCCTGAGGAGCTGTGAAGCAGCAGGAGGCTCCAGCAGGATGCGCTGCACAGCGCTACACTTCTGGGGGTTCAGCCTAGTGCTTGGCATGTGGAAAATTCAAGCCTTGTGTTTTGGAATGTTTTTCCCCTAAATATTTCCATTCTGCAGTTGGTTGAACCCATAGATATAAAAGCCACAGATAGGGAGGGCAACCTATATATGGTTAAGTTCCGTAAAGTACATGTCATACACATTTGCTTGTTTCTCTTCAACTCATAATTGGAAAATTTATGAGATAGATTGTAGGACCTGGCCCAGATTTATTACTGATGAAATTAATGTGAAATCAGAAGAAAATACTCTTTAAATGAACATCACAAAGACTGTCATTCATATGGTATAATACATAAGTAAATGGGGTTTTCTTTTTGGATTTGGTTGTTTGGTTCCCCTCCCTCTTATGACTTACATCTGCTCTAAATTTAAATGTAAGCAATGGTGCTTTGCATCACCCATTAGTTTTATATTTTTATTCAGTATTATAAGGGAGAGGAATAAAGTCAAGCCTTTCTATCACATGTTTTCATGATTAAAAGCTTCATTGGCCAACAGTGGAGTTAGCCATAAAATATTTGCTTTGATTTTACATACTGAATGACCACTAATTATAAAAAAAAAAGATGATTTGAAGTTGATAAAAGTTATGTAGAAGCTAGAAATGAATACTTTTAGAATTGAATTTCCCCTATAAATTTTTTATGGACCAATTTTATTGACATTCTTTTATGTTTGATAGTTGTGACTTCATATTTTAGTGATTTATATGTTTTAATCCTGTGGGGTTTTTGAGACAAGGTCATGCCCTATAGTCCATGCTGGCTTTGAACTCACTGCATAGCCCAGGATGGTCTTGAAACCATGGCAGTCCTACCTCATCCTCAGTGCTGGGATTAAAGGCATAGTGCCACACCTGGCTCTCGAGTGATTTTCTTAAATGGTTTCTACCCCAATACATAGGAGGAAAGTAGGAAATCAGACATTTTTGCTCTGCAAAAGGCTTAGGCCCCTCCTACCTCCCACTACTGGGGATTCAGTTCAGGGGGCTTTACATTGAACAACATCGCCAGCCATTTTGTTTTGTTTTGTTTTTTAAAGGTCTTGCTTTGTAGTCTAGCCTGGTTTTTGAACTCACTATGGAGCCCAGTCTGGCTTCCTACTTTGTGATCCACCTGAGGCTCTAGAATGTTGGATTTATAGGTAAATGCCATCACGTTCTCAGCTGTTGGTTTGTTCATTCATTCCTGAGGAAGGTTCTCACCAGGCTGGGCTGGAACTTGTGGTCCTCCTAGCATGTGCACCACCATGGGTAGAAAAGGTGTGGATTTACTTGAGCCAGTGAATTCCTGCCTTTGAGCAGTATTCATGTTATCAACGTAAAGAGTAACCTGTAGCTAACAGAAGGCGCTAGGGCACGGACATCCTTAGGGAATTTAGCCAAGCAAGGATTTGGTATTTCATTGAACTTGGGCTGTGAGGGAGGCGTACTGAGATGTTTGTCAATCAGTGCTGAGTAGCACACTATAAAGTACTACTAGAAGTGTTAAAGAATTTCCTGGAAATCCTCACTGTGCCAGAACAAAGGTGTAGAACGAAAATAGCAAGTCCTTATTAATTCTGCATACCAAGGGTTCGCCAGGCATATTCCTTAGGGGATTTTCCTGCACACCCACTTTCCCATAGGATTGAATCACACCCTCGGCTAATTGCTTCTTACCACTTCCTAAGTGGCTTATGAGCCAAAAGCATAGCTGAGAAATCTGATAATGGCAAGGGCATGGGAACTTAAATATTTTTTTTTAAAACTATGCATAGGATTGAATGAAGGGTACTCTAGCAGAGCTACATTCCCTGGCTCGTTTTAATTTTTTTATTTTGAGATAAGATCTTGCTAAATTGTCTAGATGGGATTTAAACTTCAAATATCTCCTCCCAAGTGCTGGGATTTGAGATATGTGCCACCACCCTGAGCTTTGTTACTATTTTTAAGTCAAGCCACTTGGTTCTTTTCAAAAACTCATTTCTTTTAAAGCTCTTTGTCCCTTTTAGTCTCAGCCAAATATTTCACTTTCTCAACTCTTTTTTTTTTTTTTTTGGTCATTGTTAATCACATTTTGGTCACTGCCTTTCCCTCCCTCCATTTTGATTTGACATTTTGCTGAGGTGAATCAGATCTTTTCTGATAAGATGATAATTTTTTGTTGTTTTTGTTGTTTTGAGCTGGAGTATCACCATGCAATTCAGGCTGGCCTTCAACTTCTATGTAGTTGAAACTGGCTTTAAACTCCTCAGTGATCCTCTTACCTCAGCCTCTGAAGTGCTGAGGGTACAGGAACACACTAACATGCCTATCTTTAAGGTATAGAGTACAGATAATTGTTTTATTTATTTTTGATATTGGAGATTGAGCCCAAGACTTTGTGCATGCCAGACAAGCTTGTACCTTGCTGCCTGAGCTATACCATAGCCCTTTTTACTTTATTTGGAGACAACCTCTTGCTGAATTCCCCAATCTTGCCTGGAATTTGGCAGTCCACTTGCCTTAGCATCTTGACAGCTGGGACTACAGGTGCATACCACACATTCAGCAGAAAATATATACTTCTTGGAGGGGGAGTGTGTAAGATGAAAGCCATTCTAGTATAGCAATCAAGGTGATATTAGTAACAGTCGTGCTCATCATATGATACAATGATCCTATTTAGTAAGCTGGCGCGGAGGTCCTGCCTGTAATCCGAGAAGCTCATGAGGCTGAGGAGGATCACAGGTTTGAATCCAGGCTGGGCAACTTCATATACTGTCCCAAAACAAAAAAGGTCTGGGGCTGTAGCTCAGTGAAAAAGCCCTGGGGTCAATCTCCCTCACCCCCTCCCCAAATTGTTTTTATTTATTTATTTATTAAATTTTTTATTTGTGTGTGTGTGTGTGTGTGTGTGTGGCCAGCTCAGCCCACCAGGGGGCGGGGCTGGCTGGCATGTGGTGCTGGGGGATTGAACCACGGTCCCTGTGCTTTGCTAAGCTTGTTCTAAGTAGGTGCTTTAGACCACTGAGCCATCTCACCAGCCCCCCCCCCATTGTTTTTATAAATAACTTTTCTTAATCACTAGTTATGTTAAAGTCTTCTACTTTTTAGTTTCATTGCTTTAATGCGTTGTCAATTAATTTCTGCTATATCTTTTGAAATCTACAAGTTTTAGAGCCAAATGAAGTATACCAGAATACTGTGATTTATGTATTTTTGTTTGTTTTGTGTTCTTCTGGATAAAACACCTAACATTTTGCTCTAAAAGAATTTTTTACTTTTCTTTTAATCAAGAAAGGGAATGAAAAAGTATTTTTCTGCTACTTTTTTTTTTTTTTTTTGCCTCAGTAGACTTATTTATCTTGCACATAGGAACAGTTTTATTTAAAGTAAAAAACTGCAGGCGTTACTATCATGTTACCTATTAAAAAGAAGATGCCATCTTTGAAGACTAGTTTATTTCAATGGTTTGTTTTTGGTTTTTGTTTTTGGTGGGTTTTTTTAATTTTTTTTCAGAGAAAGTCTTGCAGTGTAGTTCAGGCTGGCTTTGAACTCAGTGTGTATCCCAGGTTGCCCTGGAACTTGAGGTGATTTTTTTTTTCCTCAGCCTCTCAAGTGCTAGGGTTCTAGCTGTGTGCCACTGTGCCTGGTTTAGTTTTTAGTTTTTTTTTTTTTTTTTTAAATGAGGATGGTTGCCCTTATGTCCATCATATTTAATATTACCCAAAAAATGGTAATACAGAACAGCAATTTGAAGGAGGAAAGAACTCATAAAATTCCTGGGGAGGCATATAATCAGGCTTGGCATAGAGTATATGTGGAGACACTAGAGGAGCTCCCTGGCTCTTGGGTGACACACACGTCTGCATTGTAAAACCCTAAGAGAGGGGCTGGTGAGATGGCTCAGTGGTCTAAAGCAACTACTTAGAACAAGCTTAGCAAAGCACAGGGACCGCAGTTCAATCCCCAAGCACCACATGCCAGCCAGCCCCGCCCCCTGGTGGGCTGAGCTGGCCACACACACACACACACACACACACACACACTAAATAAATAAAAAAAATAAAAATAAAAATAAAAAAAATCCCTAAGAGAGATGTGCTGTACTTCAGAAAAAGCGTTTCATTTCTGAGGTACAGAGAGGTGGACTCCCCGAGAGCAGGGAGTCTAGTCCATCTCTGAGCCTAGCATTGCATAGGACCATGTTTTATACATGGTGGAGTCCAGTGTTAATAAATGGGTGATGGCATTAAATGTCTTTTTTATTGTACTTGGCTTTCTCTTCTGTAGCACCAACCTATACATTAGGTCTCTGCCCTCAGAGAGCTTGCGAAAAGCCCATGTATTTCATCTAGAGCAGGGATCAACAAACTGCCACCCATCGGCCAAATTTGACTTGCTGCCTCTTTGTGTATGACCTAGAAGCTAAGTATGGTTTTTATGTTTTTAAATAGTAGAATGGACTAAAGCAAGATTGTAGTATGAAAATTATGTGCAATTAAAATTTTATTTTCTGTAAATAAAGTTTTGTTGGAGCAGAGCTTCCGTTCTCATCTGTGTACCTATGTCTCTGGCTGCGTTGGTGCCACAGTGGCAGAGATGGACAGTTGCCACAGAGACCGTCAAGGCTGCAAATGCCATCTGCTCCTGTGGAGAAAGCGTGCCTACCTCTGCTATCCTGATTTAAAGCAGTATGTAAAAAGTTCTTTCAGTAAATAAAGCAGCTGTGGTAGGAGAATCTAGAGCAGAATATTAAGGTACAGCAGTGTTTATTAAGCTCTGTTAAAGGAGCTAATGCCGTTGTTCAGTGAGTGCTGTGTTGGAGGGAGGCATCTCCATTTTGCAGATGGAACCATAGAGGTACCAAGAGGTGAACTTGGTAAAGTTTAAGAGTGGAGTTTGAAATTCAGTATGATTTGAGCCGATGAGCTTTACCCTGCGGCGTGGTATCTCCCCACATAAAACTGTGTTACTTGGTCATTTTAAGCACAGACAGGTTGTCCCATGTACTGCAGATACCTTCCTGTTGCAGTTGAAGCTAAATGTCTTCAACATTTTCACCATTTGTATTAACTGTTACAGGTCAGTAATAATTTGATCTTTGTTCACTGAGTGAAATAAAATACTGTAAACTTCAGGTGTAACGAGTTCGAAAACTTTGGAAGCTACAAGTAAAAAGTGAAAGACAGATTTTGAAAAATTTCCTGGTGTTAGGGGGTAAGGAATTTTGGAGTCATGACTGATGAGACACACAAAAGCTGATGAGGGGTTGCAGCTTAGAAGTGTAGTCATCCCTCCTGTCTGGACAGCTGGTTCCAGGACCTCTGGGGTACCTGAGGATGCATGCAGTTCTTTAGGTAGTCATTGCGTAGGACCTCTGCATATGCTCTCATACTTCTAACGTCTTCTCTGTATTACTTAAGTAGATACTTTATATAAATGCATAGTGTTGACACTTTTTGAGTCAATGATAAAAAATTGTACATGTTGAGTACAGATGTACTTTTTCATTTGGATTTCAGTTTGGATGAATCCATGGATATAGAAAGCATAGATTAAGAGTTAGATTCTAGTTTTTATTTATTTATTTTTTTGGGGGGGAAATGAGTAAGAGTCTGATGATCTGAAGCTTTAGGTTTACTTTTGTACTTGCAAGTGAGCATGGAACGAATAAGGCCTTTGCTCTTGAGTTGTACAAGAGAAATTTGGAACCATAGTGTGATTTGGTCCTGTGTGACATACAGTATGTTTAAATTTTTAAAAACATTACAGTAAAACACATTGCTGTTAATTCCCTGGAAGTACTCCCTTTCACTTGGAACACTCTTATCCCATTGTACTTGCTACATTCTGTGTACTTCGGATGTCCTGTTTCATGTATTTAGTTGTGCTGTCGTGGCTGCTCAAAGTACTGAAACAGTTCAAAATGTTGACTATTCATTTTGATTGTAGGGAGGAGCCTAAAGCCATATGGCATGAGAGCCAGTAAGTATTCACATGCGCTGTCAGTGTTCATGAGTCTGCCTTCCCAACATGGTGCTG